GAGAGCTGACCCTTTGATCCCTCAGCTTTTATACTGAGCATGAGGCAGATGGGATGGTCCTGGTTCACCTGAAACCAGGGCATGCTCTCTAAGAAAGGTTAAGGTCTCAGAGGGCATGTGTGAATTTGCCACCTGAAAACAGGCTTGACCTAGCATCAGTTGTCACAGATGAAAGGGAAGTATGAGAAAACGGCAAGAGAGGGTGATGAAACCACAGCAGCAGCTATCGTCATTAACTGTTCATGGGAACTTGCTCAGTCCCTGTCCTGTAGGGATATTCACTTATGCCCTGGCTGCAGGGGATGAATTTCTTTGGTCTGTAAGGGTGGAGAGTCTATGATATGAAACTGGACATTTGCTGTGCCAAAGTGCCCTGCTATTAGCATTGGTGTGGACAACCACATTTTGGCCTGTTAACTGCAAAGAGGTGATGGCAATTTCTCAGTGCTCTCCATTATTCAAAGAGAAACCTTACGGAGCCGCGGTGCAGACCCTGGACTTTTGCATGGTCCAGTCTAATTCACAGGAGTGTAAAAAGACAAAAACAACATAAGAAGCATCTACACTTTACTTTAAAGGTGACTTGACCAAAGATGTCTCTGCAATCCATTTGTTCTGAAGGCCATAAAACTCATTGTGAATGAATGGTATTTGCATAATTTTTGGTCTTAATACCAATTGACCTACAACTACAAAACAAAATCAACCAAAGACTTATTTGCAGGGCACTTTGCTTTGTAAACTGTTGCCAGAATTATAAAGCATCAATTCCAAGGGAGAGAGATGATCTGACTCTCCCTTTGCTGGCCTTTCCTTCCGTTCTTCCCTCCCTCCCTCTACAATAATGCTCAGCAGGGTGGGTGGGTCTTTGGGGGGGATTGAGTTTTTTGGCCATTTCCCTTGTTTCTGAACAATGCAAATGAAATGTAAGGTCAAATGCAGGTATGTTTTACAGGCTAAAAGTACATAATTTGACACACACATGCTGAAATACTAGAAAAGCTCATAAATTTCCTTTAGTGTAGAATTTAAAATAAAAATCATTAAGCAGGGGAGGGGAATAAGACAGGAGGGGACCAAAATAGTCTGTTTGGGCAATGCAGAAGTGGCTACAGTCTTGGCCTATTTGTAGTGACAGGGGAGGTTATGGCTGAATCATGTTGTATGAGACACATGCTGCACTGGTTGGAGCTCAGAGCAAAGCCCTTGTGCCTCTCCCTGCACTTGCTGTGGGCACAAGCACTTGCAAAACTGGCAAAAAGATTGTGGGAGCTGGAGATTTTCGGGAAACTTGCAGAGCTGGGGAGCAGGAAGGAGTGGGTGAGTGAAGGGGCAACAGCAGCAGTTGGTAGAAGAGGATGAACAGAGAGAAACTGGTGGTAGCTGAGTGGGCAGAGATACACGAGTCAGCCAGGCAGAAGAGTACCGGTGGAAAGGGAGAGAATGGGGTTGGTAGAAAGCATTTGTAAGCTTTCAGCAAGTCTCTCAACACTTTTCCACTCTACTGTAATTAATTTTGCTGCTAGTCTGCTCTGGTTTGTGTGTTGTGAATGTAAATGAGAGCAGCGGGTTGCTAGGGTTGAAATGCAAAAAATGAATGTGTGGTTCATGACAAATAACTGTGCTGGCTTGTGTCTGTGGAACTGACACTGTTGTACAGAGTCAGACATGAGGATCTTGAGCCTGCCAACACTTATAACCATTAGCATCTTAATGCATGCTGTTGACTTTATTTGAGCATATATACCTATCTGTTTGAGGTGTCAGGGCTTACACCTGGCTATGAATTCTGCAAAAAAATTACTGAAAAAAGTAAAAAGAAAAAAAAGTCAACATTAATTTGCGTAGAGCACTCCAAAATCATAGAATCATAGAATGGCTTAGGTTGGAAAGGACCTTGAAGATCATCGAGTTCCAACCCCCCTGCCATGGGCAGGGACACCTCCCACTAGACCCGGTTGCCCAAGGCCAAGTCCAGCCTGGCCTTGAACACCTCCAGGGATGGGGCCTCAACAACCTCTCTGGACAATCTGTTCCAGTGCCTAACCACCCTTAAAGTGAAAAATTTCTTCCTCATGTTTAATCTAAACCTGCCCCCTTCCAGTTTATAGCCATTCCCCCTCGTCCTATCTATACATGCCCTAGAATAGACCACAGTCTTGAGGAAGAAGTGTCATAGTGAGACCCTAACATTAGTTCTTGTTTGTTCAAAAGTACCTTGTGTTTCACAGGCAGCTTTTTGTTTGTTTTTCTGTTTCTAGTTTGGTTCAACCCACCATTTGAGGACTGAAAGGCAGAAAGTCCCCACCCAGCAGAGAAAGTCTTACAAGACTGAAAAGAGGAAGACCTGTTTTGCAACCAGGGTGGTTTCCCCTGGGACATACGTGATGGTGAACAGGCAGAGTAGCATTTTTATTGTAGGTTAAAACTTACAAAAACTATTGTAGGTTAAAACTTACAAAAACTTGGATTTCATTTGCCCATGTGCACACTTTACAAGTATGTATCAGGGAAGGAAGGGGAACTAGATGAGACCCTATACATATAGAGATCTCACTTGAATATCTTATCTGGATATGACCAGGTGCCATGCCCCCCCCTCGAGTCCCCTTCCAGTTTCCAAAATCAAGATTAGGCCAATGGAAACCAGAGCTGCCCAGCACCCTGGAGGATCAGGGTCCTTAACTGTAAGACTAAGTACAGTGGACTGGAAATCAAGTCTATTGATTAATTAACTAACTGTTTAATTCAGAAGACTGCATATGGGAAGACAGAGAAAATATGATACAAGAAGGGAAAGAAAACATTCTGAGCTGAGGCCACAATAGAGTTTTCAGTCACTTTGAATTGAACCCCTAGTTTCTTCCATTAGTTGAAGCAGTTATTTTAGCAAACCACCACCAACTGGCTTTTCTTGCCATCAGCAGAGCATTTTTAATTTTGCATAGGGAATCCAGTGTGGAACTGGATGGCAGGACAGATCAGACGTCAGTCCGCTTTGTAAACTCAGGTACAGCATGAGTTCAATAGTTCGTGTCACACAGACTGCAGTCTTGTCTCTGTTCGTGCTGTCAGGAGTGCTAAGAGGTCCTTACCTCTTTTAGAGTCATCTCTGCAGATGAGGCAGAGCTAGGACCAAAGGTCCTAAAAGGTCCTAAAGGAGAGCCTTAATGGGAGAGCTGCTTGCAGTGTTCAGATCCCACTGGAAGTGGGGACAATTCTGGAGCGTGCCCAGAGACCCTGGCAAGTGTGGGCAGTGGCAGAGCTCTGCCAGAGCAAGCGCAACAGCTCATTTACTTTGGCACCCAGCAAATCAGGAGCTTAGTAAAGATGGGAGAAAGAATTTTGTGTTGAAAATTGGCCCTTGTCAGTGAAACATGGAGCTCCCTCAAGTCCTGTCTTCAACCGTTCACTGCCATCCCCCTCATGCTTGCTTCCCCCCCACTGGCCGGCCACAGAAGCAACCTTGAGATGTCCTTGCCTTTCAGAAAACCTTGCTGGTGCTACTGCAGCAGGGTCATGGTGCCACTTAGCATTGTCTAAACTGCCAAGTACCAGGTGCAGTTTCTCAAACAAAGGTGAGAAGCCACCCTTTGTTTCCAGGGCAGGTGTTTTGGAGCCAGCAAATTGACAGCAAAAGATTTGGTTTATTGTGAAAGTCACCCCTTTGCCAGAAACTGATATTAATAAATAGGAACTGGTAAGCTATCCTTCTGAAGTAGCATGGTGTGCTTGGATAACATTTAAAAAAGGTGTAAAGGGAGAACACATCCTGTCTGGCAAATTGAGGTGGTACATGCAACCAGATGGCTACACAAAATTGTCTGAAGTTGCAGGAGACCACCACTTCCGTCTGTGACTGTAAAGGACCTGTCAGCAAGGTCTCATGCTGTGTAGGAGCTATCGCAGAGCTTGGCTGCAGACTTTAAAGGTCTCTAAGCAGGTGAGTGGGCTAAAGAGGACACCTGGTATACTAAAGAGACATGGCATACTAAACTGTGGAACTGTGGGGTTTTTTAAGGCTTTTTGCACTTGTTTTTTCATTTTTTTTCTATGCTACTGGTTTCAATACTTTTTTTTTTTTTTTTTTGCCTCTGCTGCTGGTATTAAAGTTTTGGTTCCTTTTTTTTTTAAAGAACCTGTTACCTGCAGTGTGCATGCAGAAGTACTGTGCTGTGTATGGGTGTCTTGTACACATCAGAAACTTTATTCATAGCTATTCCAGATACTGCCCACATGATATTTGCTTTCTCAAAACTCTCTCACCATCAAAGAGGAACAGCTGAATAATAGGCCCAAAAGCACTGTATGTATTTAAGAATGCTTCAGAAAATACCCATTAAATCCTTTAGCAACAAGTTTTTTCAGCCTTGAATATCAGAAGTGGCAGTCTTGAAAACACAAAACCTCTTCTTGTTTGCATCCTTGCACCATGAATTTGAAGATGCGAAACTGAGAGTGTTCGAAGCAGCCAAGCAATGGCTCATATGCCGGGTGCGGGACTTGGTTTGACTCCATCCTCGCCATCCTCCCCGCAGCTGGGCTGGGGGTGGCGCTCAGAAATCCAGGTGCTTCCTTTCCAGTTCTCTGCTTTCCTAAAGAGGAATGGCTGCTTTTCAGCTGCCTGTGCTATTTCTTGGACAAGATGTTTTGCCTTGCATTCGGAAGCCTGAAAGATGCTGGAGTGCAAAGGAGATTTCCTCTTGTAAGGAACGATTTTTCCCAGTCACCCTTCCCTAACCCTGCCTTGTTCCAGGTACTGGCTGTAGCCAGGATAAGCTGTCTCCTAATAGCAAGCATTATGCTAGAACACTTTATTGTTTAATAGCATTAAGCTTTATCAGTGTGAATTGGCTCCCAAATGCATATGGCTGCTTAGACCCTTCAGCAGTCATTATGAATAACAGGAGGATAAAAGCAGTTAATTGAGGGGAAATCCCCTCACACAGACAAAGAACACAGATTTCTGCTAAACTGGCAGCACGGGCGCGGAGGACAGTGCAAACTTCCCTAAGGTAAAACTTGACTCTTTTACTCTACCACAGCGCCAAAATAATTCCCAAGAAGCAAAGGGATTTGCATTAGTGTAGCTGAGATTAGAAGCTGGGCTGTCGTTCCCAGACTCCAAATAGAAAAAGAGATCCAGTCTTTAGACTCTGTATTGAATTACGCCCACGTGTTTGGGAGTTAGAAATTTTCCTTGTTAAAAATGAAGTGTACTCCTCGTGGGTCAGCTTCTGAATTGCTGATGCTCTGTTTGTTGAGTGTGTCAGCAAGGCCCTCAGGTCCACAGAGAAAAACACCTATTCTGGAGCTGTTAAGAAAAGGAAAATACGGTCACGAACTAGGTATGGAGCAGCTGAATATTCTTGATGTAAATCCATCTTATGTTCTGTAAGTGCGAGGTTTTTTTCTCAGTTACAGGAACTGAAGTAGAACAGGATGTCTAACCCTTAAAACCCCTTAAAACTTGCAAGGCATTTACTGCTGCTTCTAAAACAAAAGGTGGGCTAAGTCTCAGCTCAGCAGCAGTCAGTGAAGACAGGTTTATTAACCTCAGTGGAATCAAGGAAATAGAGCTTCAAAGAGCTTACGGCACAAATGCTTGAAAGGAACTGTTCTGTTTTTTCCCATCTAATTTTGGGTGCTCCACTAAAGGTTATCCATATTCAGGTTTTAGTGTTTCAGGTGGAAAGTAGTTTTGGAGGTATTTAGGCATCACCTGATATTCCTATCTACTTCAGCTGGAATGATGGAGTATGTTTTTTCTAAAGCTTCTGCTAGTAATTAGACACTCCATCAAGTACCTCACCAAAAAAGGATGATTTTTTTTTTAAAAATTGTAGGTTAAAACAATTTGGTCAAGTCCATAGATCATGTCCATGGCTGGAATAAAAATAGAAAATATGTGGAGATTTTTAGAAAAAAATGCTCCTCAAACTTTATCAGCCAAAGGAACAAGATTGTGCTATTATGGCATTTAGATAGAGGAAGTCCATAGACACTATAAATTTGTACAGGTTTACCCAGGATGCTTCCCCGCAATAGTTTTGAACTCGTTTTCCCAGTTAGGTCTTCCATATAGCGTTTTCTGTTTAAGGCCTGTAATCACATCTTTCTCTTCTTCATGATGCACTACGAAATGAGTGGCCTGTGGCAAACGAAACACAAAGGACAGTGTAAAGACAGCATTAGATATGGCAGCATTATGTAGTAAAAACAATAATGATGATGATGATGTTGATACACAGTGAATTATTTCCAGACTGAGAATGTGAAATTCATGGTGCTTAGCAAGGAAAGCCAACATTGGTAAAGTCCTGACCATCAGTGTCTACCTCCCCCTTTTTCCCAGATTGGACAATCTCAAGAGTCAGAGCTATGAAGCGTTGAACACAGCAATTAACTACATTTCTTTTGCAATAAACTGGTTTAGTCTAAGAGCTGTAAATTAAAACAAAGCTTTCCCTTCAGGTAGAAATAATACAACTCATTTGCCCTTACTGAACTCCTGCCAGTTTGATCTCTGGCAGGTTTGATCCCTATGAAGAGGTGTTGTGCGCCCTCCCTCTGTAACTTTCACCCAGACCAGCTAAGCTAAGTAAAGCCAGGAAGAGAAGGTGTTACTAAGGGCATAAGTTCAGGCTTTGTGGAGTTCTGAAGGACTTTTATATGTCAAAAAAGTTACAGGTAACTTCCTCCCCAAGCAAGAATTGTGTGACTTTTCCTCTTCCCTTCCTGTTTTTCCACTTCCTTCCTTGCTCTTACCCCTCCCTGTCCATCTGGCTGAGCTACAGCACTTTAGGCTTATGGTGAATTTTGCAATGGTGAGATATAAGTAAAATAAAGCATCACTAGAAGAAATAGAGGGAGCACCTTTCCCGACTCAATCACACGTGCTCAAGTGGCTCATGGAAGAGCTGCTCTTTTGTAGCCCCACAGCGACCTACATGCATGGGACCAGTTAGAGAACCTATGAGAAACAAATATGCTGCCATTGTTCAAACCTCGGGCATTAGCTTCTCCGGTTCCAAATGCTGTTGACTAATGCTTTAAGCAGTATTAGCTGTCTTAGAGATACTTGCATGGTCACCTGAGGTTGCTGCTGTGAGGAAAGGCTGCTTCCCGGAGTGCACAGCCAGAGTAAACCAGAAAGGACATCAGAGTGCACATTAGCAGCTGATCCCTGTAACTTCTGATGGATAATACCTGTCTGCATTTAAAACCTCTGAAAGCCAAATGGAGGCCCAGGGTAAAGACCATTTGAACATTTATGAAAACATAACAGACTTGCTAACATCAATCTCAGTACATATGGAAGTGACATTTTGCACCGTGTTGTTACCTGAGATTCATCCCAGCCTGTAAGGTAGATGTTATAGCTGAGAAACTCTGCGTTATTCCTCTCCTGCATTTGAGCCTCCAGAGATTGCAAGAGGTCAGCAAACCATTCAAAGGCATGAGTGTCCCTGCAAAGCCAGTAAAAATAGATCTGGAAGAGACAAGAGTGAGCTGTCAGGGAACATAGGCCTTACGGTTTCTGGTTTTACATCTGCTGACAGAATGAGGGTTGTACAGTTCTTGTAGAAATTGCCCTGACCACTTCAGTAGATGAGTAGGCTGGTATCGAAGCTATTCAGGAGTGTTAATGCTGGGAAGGTTGTGAAGCAGAATGACTGACCGCAAGAACAAGGAAACATCTTTCTATTTCTCTTCCACCAGCAGCTTACTTTTTTAGTTCATGAGGGTTTGTCACTTACATCCTTGTAAAACAGTTTGTTGGGACATAAATTAAAGATTTAGAGGAAGACTGCATCTCCCTGTCTGCTGGCAGGCAAGGTAAATTAACGCATGTAACAAAACCCGTTCTATTCTCTGAATATGACCATAACTTCGGAATGTGACCCCAGACCTCAGCGCAGGGAGTTTCCAGGGGCAGGAGGTGAGAGGAGGATGGTAGCAGTGCTCTTCCACTGGCGTAAGCTTGGTCTCTCTGTGCTTAGGAAGGAATGCAATATTTGCACGGGCTGTATTAGTACCTTGGACTTTGTGTTTCTCATGTGGGTTGAACAGCATCTCCACTGCACATGCAAATCCCCAGGGCCATAGTCAGGATTCTCGTGTGTGATTTTGCTTGTAGGCTATTTTTCCATTCAGGATGTTTTTGCTTTTCACCCTCCCACTTCCCTGTCTGCCAGTCTTGTGAGATAACTGGCTCTTCTCCTAGGACTCTAGCAGCTCTGGAGCCTGACCGCCTTTGCTGGGCCTGTTTTAATTTGGGCTGTCAGCCCTTGAACAATTACAGGGGTTCTGGGTAAGAGGACACGCACCTTCTTGAGTTTTAGGTTGGTGGCATCGTGGCAATATTTGTACCAGACAGACTTGAGTACAGATGCAAAGGGGGTGACCCCTATTCCAGCTCCAACAAGCATAACAGTTTCATAACTGAATACGTCCTCACTCGCTGTTCCAAAGGGGCCATCCACAGCTATCCTGAAATTGAAAGTATACTTAATAAATCAGTAGTGAACTTTTATTAGCACCATTAAAAAAAAAAAAAAAACAAAACAATAAAAAGGCAAGGCATTTGTCTGCTACAATGTACATTTGGGCTGAATACTAGTCAGCAAAAGAAGAGGTGGGGTTGATAGGAGAAAACTGGAAAGAGCCATCTAAAGCTCACATCTACAATGGACGTAGTTAAGGATTGTATCACAGATACCACCAAACTGGTTGAACAAAATTTAAACTGTCATCGGTATTGGTTGACTTTACCGTGGAGACTCTGTACGTACTTGGGCAACTTCCATGCCTCCTGGAATTCTTGCTTATCACATCCGCAGGCGTTGAACAAGCCCTCTGTCCAGTCCCCTACAATACGGACGTGAATGCTGAAGTAATCCTCTTCTGGAGCAGAGGTTAATGTAAATGGATGCCATTCCAGTTTGGACACTGCTGGACATTTGACAAAAATGTATTGCCCGACCTCCATCTTGAAGCCCTTCTTCATCATCTGGAGCTCAATAGTCTTGAAGGGATGAATGACCACCTACAGTAAGAGGGACAAGGGGAAAAAAGGGAAAAGAAAAAGGCTGTCTTCGCTGTTCACTGCATGCATTTACATCCTTCAGCACTAGCATCATCCTCTGCTATAAAGGCAAGGAAAGTGGCTAAAACTTTGTTCCCAGCAGAACTGGGAGTGAGGAATAGTGCCTGACAGCCAGATGAAAGACTGCAGAACATGCAAAATTTTTGGCCGAAGTGTTTTTTCACACCATGCTTGCAGTCACTCCAAAAGGGACAGATCAGACTGGCGCATCTTGTAGCACATCACCAGATCTGTGTATGAACATTGTTAATTCCAGATGGACCTTATACAGTGGCACAGAGCACAGTGTTAATGAATTTGACCGTATATATAGGGGCAAAACCATAGGACTATCATACAGATAGGGAATTTGCGTAGATAGTACCACTGGAAACTGGTATTTTCATATTATATTGTGTAGGACCTATAACATGGGCGTTTGCATTCTGCCTGTCTTTAGCCAAGAATAAATAAAAGCAATATTCTAGAAGCAAGGCTGGCATTTCCATCGCTGTGATTTTTTAATCCTAAAGTTGGCTGCCAAGGATATTTTCAATTTTCAGAAGAGATTTGCAAGAGGGAGAATCAAGTGTCTCTATCTATTAATGTAGGTATTATTAATAGTTTTTAGGATTGTGGAAGAAATTTCCTGCCAACAGGGAAGTAAGCAGACACCATAGACATATGGTGTAGAAGTGGCTCAGCGATATTTTGGTAAAATTACCAAAAAACACACTCATGTATAGGAGCCTTCCAACATGTCAGCATCGTGCCAGGGCACAGTGGAGACATCTAATGTCATCCCCCAAACCCTGCTACAACTTGAACAGGGTATGTCCACAAGATGAGGCACAGTGCCATGTGAGGAAATTACATTGGGAAACACCAGGGTAGTTTTTATACATTTGAGCTTAAGTGCCGTGCTAGTTTGGCTGTTAGACTTTCAGAGCCAGCGTTAATTTTTCTGTGACACACCATGGGGAATGGAAGCTCAACATTAGCTTTGGCTGCACAGAGTAGTCACCCCCTAACTCTCCTTTTCAGGAGTCATTTCTTCTGCTGAAAAATCAGAATTCCTAAATATCTGGGTAGTTTTGAGAACAAAGGTTTGGTATCTTAAATACTCTTAAGGCTGTGGAATTTCTATATTGTAGAATTTTTCACAAAGAAAATTAATTTCTCTTTCCGAAGATTCAGTCCTGTGCCTTAGGTAACTTCCTCCTCTTGCTCTCTTTTAGAGACAGGCCACATTTAGATGTTAGAGATTGGCATTGTTTTTGCATGATAGCAGCCAGAACATTCCTGAGAGGCCTTTCACTGATAACTTTGTCTGTGGTGTAGAAGCCATTGGCTTTGCTGCACCATTTGGAAAAATTGGTTACGTTTTGCCCGGTGTTAAGCATCAGTACATACCTTTGTGATAACAACCTTCTGCTGTGACCTCCAAAACCTCACCAACCTCTCGCACAGGTACAAAAACATGGGACCCACTACCCACTTCCATGTCTGTAAGCAGAATAATATGAGAAGTCAGATGACGAAGATGGCAACTTAGATTAAATCGAGTTCTGGAAATGCTATGAGCAGATGTGAAATTCAAGTAATCTAGGTTCTTTATCACCCAGAGCAGGGAACCCTTAAGAGATAGGACACCTTCAAAATTGCTTCTGGTCGGAGAGGGCATTTCTCTGTTGATAGTTGCAGCTGACTTTGTAGTTCTACTAGAGTTACAGCAAGATATTTTCCTTGAGTGATTTTGTCTCTGTCTAAAAATGAAGGTAACTAAGTGAAATGTGGAGTAAAGCGCTGAATGTATTATTGACTCGGGTCTGTATTACTGCAGGAAAAGATGTGGTTTCTGTTAACAGATCAGTCTGAACAGTGAATGAACAACCAGCCTGCTTAATCAATAAAAGCTGAAGTTTCAATGTCACATTTCCAGAGGCATTATTTACACTTATAAATATCTAAAGGGCGGGTGTCAAGAGGATGGGGCCAGACTCTTTTCAGTGGTGCCCGGTGACAGGACAACAGGCAACGGGCACAAGTATGAACACAGGAAATTCTGTCTCAACATGAGAAAAAAATTCTTTACTTTGAGGGTGGCAGAGCACTGGAACAGGCTGCCCAGAGAGGTGGTGGAGTCTCCTTCTCTGGAGATATTCAAAACCTGCCTGGATGTGTTCCTGTCCAGCCTGCTCTAGGTGAACCTTGCTGTGGCAGGGGGGTTGGACTAGATGGTCTCTGAAGGTCCCTTCCAACTCCTACCAGTCTGCGATTCTGTGATTAATTTTCCATTAGTGATCATTAGTCCACTAATGATGTGAAACTATTTATTATGTGGATTATAGCACTTTCTAGAAATCCACACAAGCCACAAAATACATTTTGGGTAAACAGTTCTCAGATACCATTTGCTCTTTTGCTTTGCCTGTTAATTGTGCTCATTTTACAGCACACTGGAAGTGGGTTGTCTGTCTGTAGTCCATTTCTTCTTATAATCCATTGTGTCAAAATCTATTGCATTATGTGAAGAAAGCTGCCACTGAAGAGCACTGGGGGTTACATAGCTGCTTTTCTACAGCAAGTGGATATATTATTTAACAAAGAGTAAACTGTAAACATTTTACATTGGGTTTACACTCAAGACAACTGTTCTTACCATAGGAGGATTCCCTGAAAACTGGGGGATTGGGCAAGCCCCCTTCTTCCCCCAGAGAGTGAAGTTCTTGTAGCAAAGCTCCGGATTATGTTCAGCCAGGCTCTCAGCTGTCTGCCCTCGTACAATACGCCTGGGAAAAAAAAAACCAAACATTAAGGCAGTGGAATGAAAATGAAGGTATCTGTCCCTTATTGTTATTCTATTTATATACTGCTCTGCTTGTATGGAGTTGTGGACTTCTGCAGTGCTACAGTTTTGATACAGCTTTAGTGCTCTAATAAACCCACAAAATTGCTGTTAAAATGATAAAAATGAGGAAGAAAGTTGGTAGAGGAAAATATTGACAAGACCAGTTGAGAAACTGAGAGATATGTCCATTACCATTTCCAGAAAGTGGTCACAATGGCAAAGCTTCATTCTTTTCAGAGTTATCCTATTTTTTTTCTTCAAGAAAAACAAAACCTGGAGCAGGCAAGATAATCATTTTTTCTAGTGACCAGTACAGGAGTTATTTCTGTTGTTTATGTTAGAAATTTGGACAACTCTTTCCAACATACACTCTTCCTTTGACCCTTCCTCTCCCATTAAAGCTGTGGAGTAGCTCTTCAGTTGGTGTGAATGAACACAGATACTCCTGACGCAAAGCAGCTATGCCGGCTATACCTCCTTGTGTCAGCTGATGATCTGGCCTCCATATTCTTGCTGGATTGGGTTGTTTGGGGTTTTTTTGTTGTTGGTTGTCTTATTATAGAGAAGCCTGGCTGCTCCAGTTCAGCCATATTTCCAGTGGCAGAGCTAATGCTGAAAGACAGTTTCAGTTTTGAGGGGGAAAAATAAAGTCTGATCTTGTGCACTATTTCCTGCCTCTGACGGGGGTTCTGCCATCCTCAGGAGTGTGTGAGAGTCTCAAAAATGATAGCAATTAATAGGATGAAGGTCATGGTAGAGAAATTCAGATTAAGACCTGCTGATTTTCCCTAGAAATGGTCTGATTCTGATCAGGTTGTTCGGTTTTATGTCAATATGATTCTGTTGATATCTTCTTCCCGTGACTTCTCTTCCTGCTTTTCTAGCTCAGTTTCAGTGAACTAGACTGTTTCTGATGCTTCAAAAAAACATGGTATTTAAGTCATATGTATGCCTATCTAAGTGACAGATTTATCAGAGGATTATTAGAAAACCTGTGCACAGTCTTGAAAGTTAAAAGATTGCACTGCTCATAAATATTACTAATTAGCCTCTTCCTCATTAAAGGTTTGATTAACACCCTGCCTGAAAAATAAAGGGAAGGAATGACACCATCCCAGGATCATCACGAGTTGCAATTTGCAGGAACATCACCAGTTGCAGTTTACTTCCCCAGCTGAGCCGCCCTCTGGGATGGAGTTACGGAACAGGAGGAGCCTATTTCCTGCCACTCCTCACCCCATTGCTCAAGGGAAAGTGGGCCTGAGGGTTTTTGCCTTGCACTATGTGCCATTTAAGGTTTGGCGATGCCAGTACCCTGTACAAGAGAAAGAAAAGGCCTATTTTCCCTTATTCCTCAGTGCAGATGCTCTTCCAGTACTGTAATTAAGCTTTCAGTAGTATAGCCTTCTAATTACTTATTTTTTGGCTGAAAGTTTTACTTTAGCTTCCAAGGCAGGGTGATGTGAATCTCTGTGCTCTCTCCTCTTTACATCTACTACAATGGGAAAGTTTGGGGACATTTGTCTGTGACACATAGCTCATGCACAAAAAAATGTCGGTGCTACAAAAGTGCTGTAACAGCTTGTAACAGACAAGAATCTGCCCCTTCGATTCTATTAATTATCTTTGGTTCAGTTTTCTTTATATACACATATATATATGTATGTATATATACATCTGTATGACACACAGCCTTCTGTCTCCTGAGATAAACTGTCATCTATGTCTCTCTCTAACATGCTACTTTGAGACTGTCAGGTCCCTTCCTTGAGTGTGAAAAGCCCATCCGATATTTTTTAGTGTATTAATATTTTCTCTAAACTCAAAATGTCATTCTTGCCTTTAAGGCCATATAAGCGAGGCCACCGAGTTCACAGCCAGAAGGCATCGTTCCCTCTACAGATAATAATATTCCTGTGTTGATCTCCTTCCAAAGGATAGCTGAACTTCTCTGACAACCACGTTCAATCCCACTGCTGCCCAAACTCTTGTCTTTTCAGTACAGTGCAATTAAAACGGTGGAAGTATACTGAACATCCAAGTGAATAAAAAGTCAACTTTTATGAAATATATGCTTCCCAGTGACCTCTAGAAAGGGCGATGCTTGCTTTCTGATAGCATTGTGTAGTAACCACTGGGAAGTTTGGACATTTTGTCAGTAACTATATGATATTTGCTGCAGCAAACATGAACCGCTTGTTCGTTTTCTTCAACAGCTTTTGCTCAAACCTTCTTGTTTTGAAAGATGGAATGGACAAATATGCGGGTGACAATTCTCATCAGCCTTCTATTTTTGTTCTTCCTGTTGTACTCTCATTTCTGTCTTTTTTTCTGGCACTACTGGAGTGAGAGGAAGTGTTTTTGAATAGTCATTTTTGCTGGGCATTTTTAAAGCACACTTTCTAGTGCACCTAGAATTTCCTTTACAGTGAACAAAATAGTATGATTATGAACTATGAAATGTGGCTGGGATACTTTAGCCTTTTTTTTCTTTATGTGTCAGTTCTGTGGTTTTATAAAATGGAACTAACGCTCGTTTTTCTAAGGGCTAAATTGTGATTGCATAGTGCTAAACTTGTTTCATTAGGCTTTTCAGCTATTTCAGAAGAAGGTATGGAATCAACCAACAGTGGAAAAAGATGTTTGACGTCTGGAACTTACAAAAACTTACAGTAGCCTATATTTGAGCTGCAACAGCTAAAAATCTGTTCTGGAATGCTGCTGATATTAAAAGGTTATCAAAGTCTGAAAGATGGATCTGTGTTACTGCAGTTTGCATTTACACAACAAAATCCTAGACTCTATCATTTTTACGCTGAGGTCTCCTCACGTGCATGTGTGTGATGCAGTTCATTTTAGAAGAGAAAGATAAGGTAACAATTAGAAACAGGAACCTTGGAAAAGAGCTTTCCAATTAAAATATCAGAAGAAGTTGAGTATCAGTGAGCTTAAGTATTCCAGAGTCTCATAAAGCCTCATGCATGTGAATAGCTTGTTGCGTGTATCAGCGAGAGCCTCTTGGCTCTCAGAGCTCATCATGACCATAAAAAATAACTGCTGCATAGTGACTTAAGTCACTATACTTATGTGTCTAGAGGGCTTTACATGAAGATACAGGAGTTACCACGTATTGTGTGATAAGTGCAAATACTCACCCAGCACCATGGATGACAAGGCCAATAAAGAAGATGACAAAGAGATGGTGGGTGTACCAAAATACTTCAAAATATGACCTTCGGATGGTTTTGGTGGATGATGTGATGATTAGTATGAGGGCCAGCGTGATGATAACACCGGTGAGACCAGCCAAGTACGTGAAAGCCACGTAAAGGCCCCCCACAGGATTCTGAAAAAAAATTGCACGCATTGGTCTAAGGAAGGGGTTGCATCAAAGCAGATCCAGTGGAACCACCAGTCTGCCTCACTCGCCAAATCCTTTACCTTGTTGTAAGTCTTTAAGTCATCCTCTGTGAATTTGTATGCCAACAATGCTGAAATCCCACTCCATTTTTGTTGCACTGCAGATTTACCTTCACTAAAGTAAGTGGAAGTAGAGAGAAGGGGTTTTCCACTGATTTACACACTGAGCATTGTTTCTTACCCTGCCACTGCTGAGCAGTACGGGCTTGGGGGAGGTGAACACATTTGCACAGCTCTGTTGTTAAGAGCTGGAGTCCTACATCCATATTGAGGGAGTTAAATGAAAGCACTCTTTTTCAGTGCTGTTGTGCAGCTGTGGGTCTCAGAACTCAGAGACTGTACGCTCCGTACTCCCAAGGAATGGGGAAGTTCCTTATTTTGGAGGTGTTTTAACCAGAGCTTAAGCATCCCAAGTTCCAAACTTTTGCCTTGATTTCTGTGTACCTTTCTGTGTGCCATGTCTACCTTAGTCAGAAGACTGCTTTACAAGGTATTTTTTTTTCCATGATGTTTTAAAACTACTTTGAAGTCCTCAGGTGAAAAAGTTCAAAGGCCTACCAAAATTCAGCAACAATATTACTGGCAAACACAGAAGAATGAATTAAACAAGGTTTTGCTGCAAGATGGCCCAAACACAGATTGCGGACACCAGAAATAGGCACTCTGCTCAAATAATCTTATAAGGTCATCTAAAAAAAATGTAATAATGACTCTTCACAGCCTGATGTCACTTACCCCAATAGTGTTTCTATAAAAGTTGACATAGGTTTGTTTTTGTGCATCATCAAGGCTAGAAAGCGCAGCTGCAAGAGTTCCTTTCTCTTCAACACGGGCTTGCACACTCCACTCTACGTTGAATAAGTGTGCGATGGTGTGAATTGCTAGGAGTGATGGGAAAGAAATATTCAGGGTTAAGCACAAGACAAGTACTCAGTGGTTTTAGGTAACATTTAAAATTTTGCAACATTTGTCAACTGCAGTTTAAGACCTTTGCCACTCTCACCCTCTTCATCACAATTTCAGATCACTGACATGTTTTACTGTTAAAGCTCTACCACCTGAAGTTTACATCTTTTTGGGTGGGGGAAGGAAAGAAGTAAAGGGAAGTTTCCGGCACGTCTTTGTTCAACAAAGGCTTTCAATAATTCAGGTAGTAGTACCCTAGTACCTCGGGAACTGAAGCATGGAATGGCTTAAATTATACATCAGGATCATCCAGGATTTCTGTGGAAGAGCCAAGAAGTGAATCTGGGTCTTTTTGATGTCACATTTGCTAGTGCTGCTTTGTGCTGCTGTATTGCTAATAATCACTAATAATGTTCTTCCTGAGCTGGACATGTCCATAAACCTACTACAGCTGAGGTGGTTCACACTACTTTCACTGCATGTTATTGCTGGGGTAAGCCATACAACGCTTTTCAAAATTTTCCCCATTTGTATCACCAGATACTTATTCACCTTCAAAACAGGGCCTGATGGGTACAGATGTAACACCCCCAAACGCCTGCATCTCTGCTGCAGAGCTCCTCTGTGGCCCTCTGTTAACTGCATCACCCTGCTTTTCGGAGAGATTTCAGTGAGATTTCAGCCACAGCTCCGAAAGGGAACCTGCTCAGCTCAAGTAATCTACTGACACGAAGACTGTTCTAGGATATACGATTTGTAAGGTACTTGCCTTGAGAAGTGACAAATTTGATGAAAAAAAAGAGAAAAGATAGAGATGCCTTAGTTTAGGAAATGAGAGATAAAATATGAAAACATTTCCGTGACCTGTCCCAGCTTTTTATACCCCTTTCTTTCATAATTTCTATTATTTGTTTCAGACATGCCAGCTACGGAATAAGTCTAAAAAAGAATTAAAGCCAGGGTATCTGGTTCTCAGGGCATTGCTAAACACCCTTTATTAACCAGTGTCATAAATGGGGCTGATGGTTAAGGGAAAAGTATTCTTTCTTATTTATTTGTTGCTCTCTACCAGTTGCAGAATAATATTTGGAAACTGATGTAAGACTTAGCACATGCCGACTCTTTTACATTAATAAAGTCACGTCTCTGCCCATATTCTTAAGAACCTGAATCCTACCTGGCTGCTGAGTAAAATGCATGAGAAAGCAATAAACAAAGAAACATTTGAGCACCAACCAGTATGAAGGGCGATCATCCATGCCACCATTTTGTGAAAGGTGAGGTTCCTGTCCAGCTGTCGTCTGATACGGGTCGAGCAGCACTTTGGGTTTGAAGAAAAAAAAGTATGTGAAGACTATTTGTGACGTCTGTGCATACTTATTTAAATGCAGGGACAAAAAAAGAGGCCCTGAGCACAATTGGTGGCATTGCTAGTAAAAATCTAGAATTCCTAAATATTTCAAAACTATTTCCCCCCGTACTTCAGACTATGGGAATAATAGATTATGTTTTAACATGTCCCATTGAAACAAAATGTTTGATAACGAGAAAAAACATAACATCCAATATGACAGAAGTATATATCTTATCTGTGTTAAATTACATGTTGTAAACATAAGGGGGGATCACGGTCTGCCATGGCAGGGTGACAGCTTTGGTAGAGTCTCAAGTTGCCACCTAGCATCAGGATCCTGTTGTGGTTCACACTGTAGAAATGGACTGTAAAGTTTGAGTATAACTGTCTCAGGGAGCTCCGAACCCAAATGTGCTGCTAGTCACTTATGCTTGGTAATAGGAAGTGATTCCTTCCCCAAAATACTTGGGTGTGCTTGCCGGGCATTCACTTACAACTTGTTGCTGGAGTTACCCAAAGAGAAACAGAAAGAAAAAAATCTCTGCTGATACAAACTGAAGAAGTTGGTTCCTTAGAAAAACAGAATGATTATTTTCATTAAAAATGATGACAGGTTCCTAACAGACCCCATCTAAATTGTGCTGTAGTCAGTGGGAGTTTTTTCTATAACTTTAAGTGCCTGTAAAGCTAGCATTTGTTGTCTCCACCCAGCAGAAAGCATGATTAACCTGTATTGTATCTTTATATTGCTTTTGCTGACTGGCAAAGGGAAGAAAACACTATACAAACTAAGACAAACAATTCCTCACAAGAACCATGTAGATCTTTCACACAACAAATTAAGAGAGACCAAAATATTCTCCCAAGTGTTTGCCGGACATTATCTTTGTAGATGGCAGGGTAAGGTCATGTATCTTCCCAGCTAATAGAGTGGAGCTGATCAAACCAACCATCCAGGAGTGAAACAGAAGAAGGGATGATGAAACACCAGAACAATTTAATTTCTCATTTGTTCTTTACTTCATGGACATATACCAGCCTTGGCCTTACTCTTCCATACCACTCCACTTCTAAATATCCCATGTGTATTAACTGTACAAATAAATAGATCAGCAGGGAATGGTTCTTTCCTTCGGTTATCCTCCAGCTGTGACATTGATTAAAGGGCAAACTAACACTCTGGAGCTATTGCAATGACTTTAGCATATTATAACAACAGCCAGGAGAAATTTGGCCTTCTTTGTATCATCTATCTTGAGACACAATTAAAAAGATTGTAGAATAAACTGTAGCATAGTGAGGAAGGGCCATCTCTGCCTGACTGCCTTGCAAAAACCACTTGATCTTTCTGTTTAAGAGGCAGGAGGCCAAGCGATGGCAGAATGCTGTAGCTAGGTTCAATCGTGAGGCTCATTAACAACAGTGAAGAATACGGCAATAAAGGGCATGCAAAGACAACAGAGCCCCTCTTTCAGTTAATACCAAATAACTCCGTAGCATATGATTTCTGGGTGGCAGGATGTAAAGGGCAAGAGTTTCCAGCACATTCCCATTCAACAGTGGGTTTGAACAATTGTCTCGTCTCCATAACCCCAACGACATTGCTGTTGGAAAGATCACTACCCTTTCAATAACTTATTTGACATTTAAAAAATCCTGATTTTTCTTAAGAGATCCTCACAGGTGTTACTTGCAGAGCATAGCTAATCAGAGACAACAGCAGAACAAGCATGAGCTTGTTCTGTGCCCCTGCACTGGGGCCACCGCAGTCCTGACAGTACCACTAGCACACCGGCCTCTGCGTCTTTTGCTGAAGATATAGAATTACCTCCTTCGTAAGCTATAGCTTTAGTGCAAAAAGCAACTAAAGTTAAACACCAGCTGTTTAACAGTCCTATTTAATGCCCCTCCGTCCCCTCCTTGTTCATCCTCAGGGCCTTTTCCTTCCTCGTACAGCCCAGCGCTGCCTGGAGCAGGCAGCAGAAATGGAGCTGTAGGTGCCTGTGAGGTTCTCACTTGCGAACCAGGTGTAGCCCCAGTAACTATCACAGTGTCCAAGGCAGAGGACTTACTCTGTAGGATGGATACTGAGATAAGAGGGACAGCTTCATTGGGGTCCTGGTTAGAAAAGTTAAGCTATAGTTGTTGGGGGATGAACAATTCAGACAAGCAGCACGAAGTCCTGGCTGGAGTGCAACCCTTAATCCTTGGAATCAGTTTTTAGCCTTCCAGTAACATCTCCAAAAGTGTCTTCAGCTCTTTCATGTCTTTGACCTCAGAAGATCTCTGCCCAACCTGCTTTCAGCTTGACCCCTGTGGGATCTATTTCAGACCTCATGAAGGCCTTGTATGACCAAGAGCTCATCGATATTTGCCAGTTGCATTCATCCAGTAGCAACATTAATTCTTACAAAATTTATGTACATTATTGACTTCTGCAGCCTGGCAAGTCGGCTCTGAATTTTGGCAGATACTACTTAATCTTTCTCAGGGCAGGGGAAGAACAACTTTAACCCTACAGTTTTACTTACTATGCTTTTCCCTCTTACATACATGCGGGGTATGCCTGACTGCTTTTGTAGCATCCCAAAATCTGAATAGGTACAGCACAAGACTGAAGGCCTGGTCTGTGTAGTTCCAACTTACGGCTTATGCCTTAAACAGGCAATTTAGGAGCTTAATGCGGCAGGCACATCTCGTTTGTGTGTAACAATCAGCCACACTAATTGTCAGAATATTTGTACCAGATGGATTTACAGCCTGGGTTGGCTCCGATTATTTTCTTATTACTTTGTATCCTGCTCTCTTTCCCCATGAAGGACTCTTGAAATGCTGCATGTACTTTATTGCTTCCTCGTTTGCTCTGCTCTTTCAGCCCCCACAGGCCATCTCATTTGCATGAAAGAATTTATACTAGATTTACAGATGAAAAGCAACTTCTGTGAACTGGTCTTGTTGACTATGTGTATATTGAGGAGGCTAGAAAGAAAGAAGAAATCATTATATATTTGGAAGGACAGTTCATGGGCTTGAGGAGTATATTGCTTTCTCACTGCACCACGGCAGGCATTGCCTGCATTGTTTCTGCTGTAACAGGCAGAGATCTAGATTTCAGCAGTGTGATATAGTCAGTGCTATCATAGGAAGCCTCTCCAGCTGTCACCTAGAAACAGTTGTCCTTTTCTAAGTGATGGTTCCTCAGTGCTGTATGTAACATTCGCATTTGGGAGCTAGAAATGGTCAAAAGGCCTGCGAAATATTTCACCCTGAGATAGAAATGCAACTCGGACGAGAAAGAATGTGGTTTATGAACCAGCTGAAAAAAGTCCCATTCTGAAAGCCTGTGAAAGACCAGGTTTTCTTTAAGCACTGAACATTCAAAGACTGAAGACATGGGCTAACATCTCCTGCTATAAATGGGTGCTGTCTCAGTGACAAACAAGGCAAATGTGTGTAAGCACCACCTATGGCCACTGCCAGGCAGAAGAGGGACTTTGCATTCAGGGCAGCACCATGCCCAGGAGGCAAGAAAAAAGGGGAAGACTCAAAGGAGGGTAATTCAAGGCTAAACCTCTCAACAGAGCTCTAGATACACCATTGGCATATAGACCTCGGTCTTGCTCATCGCAAAACTCCAGCCTTATCTACTTCCTAAAAGAGGACATCCCCAAAGTACTGTATATTTGGGGAACTTGGACGAAGTTGCTGGGTATATTTGCAAGGCTGCTTGGGTTATTATCTTTCATAAATTTTGAAATTCTTTCTTCATCTTACCGCACTTGATCCTCTGAGGAAGGAGAGCAAGTTTCGACATACTGGCAGCAGAATCAGCATGCAGTTGAAATTCAGGCAAGCTGCAGGGGCCCTTGCCAGAGCCAAAGCACGCTGTAATTTGAGAGATGCCATTATTAAATGAATTACCTGTGACATTACCCAGGACACGGATAGGCATAGATTGCATTTATGTATTATATCACAACTTCTCATGAGTGTGAAATCTAGAGTGAATTAACAATGTACGCATTTTAGAGTAGTCATGGTCTGGCCAAGTAAGAGGCATGTATGCAGACAGAACGCATTCCTCCAGATAACCACCTTCTATTTCCAGTTTTGAAATAATATAGTTGTGCGAAAAACTCCCTGCCATGTCTGACAATCAATGGCCGAGCACAGATGCAAGTCTAAGCCATTAGCAGAGTTTTCTCTCCCAAGGCTGTAAAGAAAGTCTCACTGCTGTGGTTTCAGTTGGTTGGGGGGTGATGGTAGACAGAAGGACAGCTTATGAGGGAAGTGTTTTTATGCCCTCTGTTGTCAGGCAATCTAGGGAAATTTGTTGCCTCATCTTTTAGGAATATGTTCCCTTAACATTGCTCTTCACATCCTGAGTGATTTCATGTTTTGACAAAGAAAGGAGGGAATAATGACCATATTAATCCAAACACACTGAAGAGAAGGAAAATTTAATGTCTGCTCTCCTTGCATTGTTTGGAACCCTGTCAGTTTCAAATCACAGTAACTGACTTGGGGTTACACTGAGATCTAGTTATCCAAGCACAGCTCTCTGTGAATTCAAAGGCAACTGCACCATGATTGCAAAGGACAGAATTTCATCCATAAATCTGAAGCTCTATGCAGAATGGGATTTCATGCTTTGTTGAATTAAACTATGGCTTTGTAAACCTTTTACAAAGTGCCGTGTTCCGTAGTTTGAGGCTTAGACTGACTTTTCTGTCTGTGATCAGGCTTTTAAATTTTGTGAACAAATGAATTTTCTCTGTCAATTGATCTTGACCTGTGGTAGCTTTGGAGGCAAGTTTGTGGTAGGACACATAATGCTGCATTAACTAGTTGAGTTATATTGGATGGCTCAGGATCACTTCATGGCTTGACTACTATTCACATGCTTGATACATATACAAATGATGATTGCTTTTCAGAGCTAATAGCTTTGTAAACTATTCATGCTATGAAAAATAATTGCATGGGGAAATGATTGCACAATAGTTCAATGGCAATATTTTATTCATCTTTTGCTTAATAAAGCAGCCACAATGGACATTCAGTTTAATTGCCAGGAGCATATTAGTTACCTGAAAACATCTTTAGAATGGGATCTCTCTATTTTTCTTACCAGTTTTCTTTTCAGAAGCACTGGACATCTGTCTGCATTCAGTCATCTGATTGCATGTGACTTCTAAACCTGACATGAGTCGGCTGCTCCAGCCACTTGATCCTTTGTCAAATAAAACTAGGGAAAAACTGCCGTGTGCTCAGTCTATGCCAAGATAACACGTTTTGTACTTACGCCAAGGAGTACTCTGGTGTAGAAGAATTTTGGTGGGACATCATATACAAGATAGTACCACCAGAAGAGGAAGACATTTAAACCCAGCCACACAAGCTGAAAGAGAAACGAACAGGAAACTTCACAGTTTTTTGTTAGAGATCATACATCTGAATTTACACATTCAGACAATGGTCAGTTAGCTCGTTGCACTCCTATTTGCACAGAGACATACTGCAGGGTATGAAGGGTTCAGCAAGGGCGATCGAAATTTTTCTGGTGGAAATGGGCTGTAATGTGTGCACACAGGAGTACAGGAGTGGCAATAAACCAAAATACAGCAATGAAAGCTGAAACTTTTGCGTCGCTCAAAGGGTTTAGGCATACAGATGTGGCACTTAGGGACATGGTTTAGTGGTGGACTTGGCAGTGTTAGGTTTATGGTTGGACTCGATGATCTGAAAGGCCTCTTCCAAACTAAATGATTCTGTAATTCTATCATTGTATAATGAGCATCATGTTACTGGTGTTTAGCTAAGTCTGTGAGTCTAGTTGAATCTCCAAACACCATTAAAGGTTAAGGCCTCTTCCGAATGGCGGTTCAGACATATTAACCTACGTAAGAGGAAGACTTCGGAGCCATGCCAAAGGACAAAGAAGCTGGACATATGAATATAGATGGCCTAAATTACACCTAAAGCCTAATGTTTGCGATTGAGTAGGAGGCTTTGAAGGTCTGAAATCAGTCAGCAGG